AAAGAGGATGTTTCTGGTACATAGCTTTGCTCCATTAATCCATATGCCTCTGAGGCTACAGCACTGTCCCTGGACCCCCCCCAGGAGTCCTCTCCACCATGAAGAGCACTGGCTGCATTTGGGGAAAGCCTCTATTCTCTCTCCCATATCCTGAACAGCCTCAAAGCTCTGTCTCCAGCCAGGCCATAAGGATGCTTCACTTTCCTCCCACCATTCACCTGGAGGCAAAAGCCAAGCGTGGACAGGCTGTAACAGGAGCCCAGCCAGAGACAGAGGGCAGGGAGTTAGCTCAGAGTGGTGTTTAGGGGTGAATGGGGAAGGAAGCAATGAGGAGGCTGCTTCCAGGATCAGTAATGTCTCAATCTTAAGGTTGTTTCCTGCAGGAAAGGGGCTTTGTGCTGTTGCTTCATCTATGTTTCACAGCTTTCGACCCATTTGGTCAAATTCAACAGGGAGCTTGATGTCTCAAAGAGGATTGACTACTTAATCCTCTTGTGAGTGTTACAAGAAGGGGAAGCCACAGAGAAGGAAGAGAGCTTTATTATTGCCCTGCCAAGGGAGAGGCTAAGGTATCAGCTCAGCTCTTATCAGACACTAGAGAATCTTCTTTGCAAGTAAGGCGGATCTGCTGTCAGCACTCTCTGATGTCTCATAAGGTGTCCACATTGACTGAAGTTGGGGCCAAGGTAGTTTTAGCAGGGACTGGGGTAGTTACAATTTTCCTTTCTGGAGGGGACTCTGTGATGTTTGAAGTGGAGTTGAATTCTTGCCCTCTCCTTCCTTTAGCTGGGTTTTAAAATTCTGTCTACCCCAACTGCAACCCACCTTAGGAACCTGGCTCCAAAAGCCCCTGTCTCCCAGCCCCTGCACACCCCAAAGATGCACTTAAACCCTCCTCTAACACCAGCTGGGGGCTGTTCCTTACTCTGCCACAGGACCCTTTAAGGAAGGTGAAGCACAGTAGTTGTCTGAGAGCACAGGGCATGGCAGTGGGACAACAAATGAGGGTGCTCTGTCTCCTGAAGCTGGGAAGAGGATGCTCAGGCCAGAAGCAAGATTTTCTAAGGCTAGTTGTGCAGTCAGGTGCTCAGGGTTCTCACCTAAAGCTCTCACATACAGCCCTGGGACACCGTGCGCGCGCACGCATACACACACACACACACACACACACACACGGTGGGCTTGATTTTTTTTTTTTAATCACAGCCAATTATCTTTCTCTTGGTTATTGGGACAGACAGAGCCGCCTAGTGTCTAGGCAAAGAAACAACAAGCCTAAATTCGGCTCCAGCGCAGCTGCGTTTTGTCCTGGTGATGGTCCGTATCGGGTTTCTCAGCAAATAATCACAGATCTCTGCCAAAATCTTCCCACTGCCAGCAGCAGTCTGGTGCTGGCATGCCAGGGACTGTGCGACCCTCCAGACTGGAGCATCCAGGAGTCCCAACATGAATCTGAGCTACAGAAACAGGCAATAGGGGGCCTTCATTGCAATGCAGCAATTACCTATCGACAAATGTCATGAGCATTGGCATTCCCATGATCCTGTGAAATCGTGGCTGGGGATATGCTCACTCATCCACATTGTCTACCTGACCCATGGTCATCTCCCTGGTTGCTGAGGCATGATCTAGATGGGCAAATATTTTAAAAGGAGAAGTCTGGGTTTTTTCCCACAACTCTGTGACTAGGTAACAATGAAATCACAGACCTCGCAATTCAGCTAGTCCCATCGAATCTCCCTCTGGCTCCTTGCAGGCATGCACAATGCCAGGTGGGTGCCATGCCTTGGTGCATGTGGACTGGCAGAGACGCAGGGCTTGCACTCCCCTGTCTGTGTGGTTTTCCTCACATAAATCCTACCAGCATGGAGTCAAGGTGGGCTTCAGGAAACATTGGGAGGGGACACACAGTGTGGCATGGAGCCCCACAGCACAGCCTGCTATGAGCTTGGCGCTTTGCTTAGAGCTGGCACAGAGCCCTACAGAAGCCTCCAGGATACTGAGGCTGAGCTCACGTCCTCAGGGTTCAGGGAAGGAAAAACTGCACAGGAAGCTCACTGCTAATGCCTGCAAGTAACGTGCTCCAGGCAAGCCTGAACTGGGCCCAAACTCTTTTCCCCTTGGTCCATCTGTAGAGATGGTAGCCAAACAATACCCCTGTCTTTTGTACCCTGCAGCCCCTCCTGTCTGTATGGGCACGGGTAGGGTGGGGCTCTTGGCTCTGCCAGGACCCTGTCATGATACATGTATCTGGTGGGGTTTGGGGGTGGTTTTCAAGCAGGTTTTGACAAAGCCACAGTCCTGAAAAGGTGAATTGGAGCCCAAGGGCCAGACCACGTTTGTTTATTCTGGTGAGGGAGCACACAACAGTGAAACAAAAGGTCAAACTCTGTTGCCCTGGGAGATGTTTTTTTGAAGCTGCCTACTATCTTGCCTGGGCTCAGATGGAATGGCCCTGGTGCTTGTCATATCAAGTTACTTTTGTACTTTTTGTTACTTTTTGCCAGCAAAACAAGCAGTGAGTGAAGCCAAGAGTCCTGCCTGCAAGGTGTGACAATGCCCCTGTCCCACCCCAAAAGTTGTGTCTCATGCTAAGGGTCAGGAGTAGTATATCATCTTCTTTCCCTGGTTGTTTAAGCAAAAAACCCAAATTGTCACTGCTACTGGGCACCTTGGCCCATCTTCTGTCACTAGCAGGAGCAGGTGGACAGCAAGCATATGGCCCTGATCCTGGAGGAAAGGTATTGAACCTTTTCTCCGGGTTCAGGACCAGCAGGGAATAAAAACTGTACATATTAGCCCTTGTCTCACTGCTCCTTATTAGCACAGGAGCTTTTCTGTTTACCAAGGCCCAAGAGCAATCACCCATCACTAACAACACGCCATCTCTCCACCCTGCTGCCCAGAGCCAGGCAAAGGACAGGACCGAGCCAGCATGAGAGCAGCACTACCATGGAAGGGCAAGCAGCCCCCAGGATGTTAAGACAGAGGTATGACCTCTATTGGGCTGTGCTCAAGGTCACACATGTGGTCATTGGTCAGAGCTACGCTGGGAGCAGGGAGTCAGGGCCCTTTTTCTGGACTTAGACCTGTAAACGAGCAACCTGGGTTTGGTTCAGGATACATTGCCAGGGGTCTGATGGTAATTTTGGGTGCCCAGTGTTATGGAAGCAAAGTGGACACTTCAAGCTTTGGGTGTATGATGACTAGCAAGTTCGTTCCATGGCTGGTAACTCCGTTTCCCCATCTGTACAATCCAGTTTCTTCGATGATGAAGTCTTATTTTCTGAAAGAGGACCCCAATGCTTCATGGCTGTAGCAGTTGCAGAGGGGCAGCAGAGGGCTTGCTTCCACAGGGCATGTCTCACTGCAGCTGGAGAGGGTAACACACATCCACAGTGCTTGGAGTTATGGGAGAGAGGTGGCAAAGCTATTCCCAAGCCCCAAATCCCAAGAGAAATTAGATTCCTTTCATATTTTCACTCATTATCCACAGATACCTATGTTTTTGCATTGGATATCTGTGCATGATTTTTCAGACAATGCTTGTATTTTCACATGGGCAAGGCCAGCTTGCACTAAGTGTGTCTTAGCCTAACACAGCTTCCTTAGCTATAGTCTGGTGAAGAGTTACTTTTCCAAGAGGCAAAGACCACATGATGCTAGGTAATCATGGGAGACAGTACAATCACTGTGGAGCAATGGCTTGCAAACAACTCAAAACAGCTGAATCATCCATTATAATAATAAATATAATAACATTTAAAGCAAAGTTAATTTCTGAATCTGCAAGAACTTTAATGAGGTTATGTTTCTCTTACCAACTCCTGGCTCTATGCTATGAACTCAGCTCCAGCCAGCCCCTGGAGCACACACAGCAGAGCAGAGCTTTGATCTTCGCCTTTTGAGGGGCTCATTTCTTAATGCTTATGGTTTTAAAACAGTGGGAGAGGGGGCAAAAGAGAAATTGTGATTCCCATGGCGGCTCTCGTGTTTGAAATAAAGTGTAATCTGTTTCTGAATTGTTTGTGTTGGTTGAATGTGTCCCTTAGGGCAGTATCTCTGTTTCTCTTGCCACCAAGGCATGTGCCGGGGCTGTTTCATGGAATAACTTCATTCCCTGCTGTCATAGCTTTTGTATACTTTCCATAAAGCATCGCCTGTGGTCTATGCACTGGAGGGTGATAGCTGGCCTCCCTGTGTTAGTGCGACATAGGAGTGCATCATGCCATCTTGAACCCCTGATGCTGAAATGAGCAAGGATGCTGCACCACAGCACTGGAAAACAAATATGTCCTGTGTATACCTCACATCCTTACTCTTCACATATTGATTTATTTATTTGGGTGGGAAGGATCCTTAGTAAAGACGTGCACTGGGCAAGTGTGAAAGCAACCCTGCTAGGGAGTGGAGGAATAGTTATCCTCAGTCTTTCAAGTGTTAGCCTGAGACTGAGCAAGATTTAGAGAGATGCAGCATACAGAAAATAGGCTTAAGTGTTAGAGGCCTGAGAGAAGACACTAATCTTAAAAGCGACAGCTGGAGAGGTGGAGAACCCATCCAGCACAGTCACACACAGTGCTCTCCTTTACACACAAATCCTTGAGCAAGGTTCCCCACCAGTCAAGCTGCCATTGAAGCCAATGGGCCTTTTTAGTTGGTTCCTCTGGCTGCAGATCCAGCTCGCTGTCTCAATTTTGGTGCCACAGTTCCTGTTTGTCTTTATATTCTGAGCACCTAATTAGCAAGATGGGCTAGAATCTGATCTCTGTCATGTAGAAATTAATCCAGATTAGCACCATTACTTTGATCCTGGATAGACAGCAAGCATCTGAGATCATAGCATGCCCCTAAAGACAACAGCAGGCAGGGACTATTACTATGGTTCTACCATTTACTCCAAACACGGAGAGAGACTTGTCATGGACTATACTGTGGAGACCAGGCAGCAGGAGAAACTTCTGAAATCCATGCACATCCTCTAGCTGAAGTTGAATATCATGTTCCAGAAGGCCAGCCCACTGCTGAGTAACCAACAGGAAAGGGGCTTGGTGACACAGCACCAAGTCCACCAACTGGCAGACAAGGCCAAAAGTCTACGCAGAGAAGTGGACAACATTAAAACCGCCTTCACCATCGTCAGGATGACCTGGTCCAGCAGATGCCCAGCCCTACCAGCAGCCATGGGTGGGAATGTTTCCCACAGGAGAATAAGTGGAATCCATTGCTCCTTGGATGGCTCCATCTACTTGACAGCCAAGAGTGCTCCCTGGGGTCCATCTCCTCAGCAGCTCTGGCCAAATGCTGCAGTCTCTGCTCTGCCCAGAAGAGGGGCAGGAAAGCAGTGCTTTCTTGCCAGAAGATGTGACTGTGATTCGAACAAGAATGGTGGCTGTAGCTGACTCGATGAACGGAGCCATCTGGGTCTTTAACCATCATTCCAGTCCCTCCACAGGGGAATGGATAAAGATCAGAAAGGTCAGTTCCCCCAGAAGGATTGGAGTAGACTCCATAGAGCAAGGTGTTGGTAGCAGACCATGTCCAAAGCCAAGTCCACAGATTTGGGTTCAACCCTGCCTTCAAGACACTGAATATCCACTAAGACCCCAACTTGTGGGGACCTTGCTATGTCAGTTCAGCTCTCAAAGGAGGCTTTCTTCTAAGTGCAGAATGCAGAGAAGTCAAGCTGTTCACAAGCAGCAGTAAGCTTGTGTGCTCTCTCAGAAACAAATATAGACATTGGTTTGGCAATCTAGCTGGGGTCTGTGCTGATGTGGAAGGCAACATCCCAGTAGCAGATGAGCAGTGTCACACAGTCCGCTTATTCCCAGAGAGTGGGGGTGCCTGCTGTTTGCAGGCCTGAGGAAGCCCACAGGTGTAGCTTGTTCCTTCTTCGGGCAGCTCTCTGTTGCGGACACAAGGGAGAATTGTGTCAAAGTCTTAAGGACTGTGTGAGGACCCCCTTAGAACCCTGGCAACCTTTGGGCGTCTTGTGACAACTCCAACCTAACATCTAGGCACAGAGTGTGGTTGGTTCCAACTCTGCTGAGCTTTGGTTCTGCTGTCAGGTAGTGAATTCATCTGCTCCCATAGCTCTGCATTGTCCCCAGACTTAACTAGCTTATTGCCTTCCAGCCTCCAGATGGCAGAAGCAAGGACTAGATCAAACAAGGACTAGCTCTCAGATTCTTGGATCCATCAGCTACTTCAGAGTAATTGAAGAAGGACCCAACTACTCAAAATTGGCTATGCATTGGTGCCTTGACAATCTTGTTACCATTCCCTCCATCCTTGTGTGTCTTTGCAAAACTAATAGAATTATTTCTCTTCCCTGTGGCCAGGCTGCCAGCTTCCTGATGCCAATGGGCAGAGTGTGAATGGAGGGATATGGCGAGCTCAGAACTGGTAGCCATTGTCTGGCACATTTAGTTTGGAATAAAGTTCAGGAGGAGGTTTAAATAAAGGTAATAGATTTCTTGCTTCATTCCTGGCCTCTACAGAGAAGCAATACCTATTGCATGAAGTAAATTGTAAATATGCACATGTAAATGCTCACATAAACACGTGCACTAGGACTCAGTCTGCCCTGCTGTTCTGTTCCCACCTGCATCTGGAGAAGTGGTCTGCCCCTGGGCAGCAGGGTTCTGGGAACCACAGCAATTTCCTTATCAGCAGAGACTAATACTAAAGCAGGCAGGTGGAGTGTGGTGGAGGAAGGAAGGGTGTTTTCTTTTCCATCTCCAAGGTGTCAGCATGGGTAAAGTGCGTTGCACAACTTCCTTAGCCTCTGCAGATATTTGAGACCTCTGGATACACATGGCACTTGACCTGGCTGTGCTCAGCACTAGAAAGGTGTCATATAAGATTTTCCCTTTGTTTAATATCACAGTAGAGATTGGTCCCAAAAGTCTACCCAATTCCAGTCATTGGAATTATCAGTCCAGTCATTATCTTTCAATCCCCAAACGAACCCCAGAGAGGACCCTTTCTCCTTCCTAACCCTGGAATACACTCTGAAGATGCTGGACATACTGTGGTGCTTTCCAAGACCCTCTCTATCACTGGCAGAGCAAGGGAGCAGAGGGAGAGCCCAGCAAGAGAGAGGAGCTGTGTGGATCAGAGGAACAGAGATAGTTCTGTCCCATCCCCTCCCTTCATGTGGGAAAACCAATCTTTCTCCACCTTCTTTCCAGTTGTGTGGAACCCCCCAAAATCCTCTTCTTTGCCATCCTTGGGTTCTGAAACCGTGAGACCGGCGTTCCCCAGCTCTGTAGTCAGTTTCCCTTTCTAGCTAGGACATGCTCACCTTGTTCAAAGTCCTCCCGGAGTCTAGCATCCTTGCTACGCTAATTCACTGTACAGGCTTGCACAACAGCAGTCTCCAAAAACGAGCTAGTTGTGTGTGCATGTGTACACACGAATGTACATACGAAACAGAGGAATATGACGGCAGTAAAACTCCTGAACAGCGTTACTACTGAGTGTTACTCTCCATTGACTGTTAAGAAAGAGAGGTCACAGGGGCTCACTGAAGCCATGGGGAGGGGGAAAACAGGGTGTCATGATGGCACGTGAGTCCCTGGCTTTTCTTTTGACCTAGATGTCATGGCACCGATCAATACCAGTGTTTGAAGAGTTAGTACAAAGCTGACTTTCCTTATTAGCAGGATAAGGAGATGGACAGGTTTTTGAGACGGGCAGAAGGGAGAATCCTGTGCTGTGGGGAGTTAGTGGTAGACCCTAGCTTCAGTAGACAAGACCAGACTCCAGGGAGAAGGAGCTGCTCTTGGTCCTTTCCAGGGACCATTCCCCATGCAGGGGATGCCAAGGCTGGCACTGGCTCTCCACAGCCCGGTTGGGTAGGAAGGGTTGCAGCAGAGGCTTACAAAGTAAACTGCTGGGGTGTCAGGGCAAAATCCCGGACAGGCTGAGAGCTAATGTCACATGGAAAATTGATGGGTTTGGTTGGTAGAAGTTTAAAAGGGACTGTCTTAAAACTCTGAAAGTTCACACATCTCCTCACACAGACACCCCCCCCCACCTCCTTTTTTAACTTGGCTGCGAAATCATGCAAGTACAGCGTAGAAACAAACTGGGCGCGTTTTGTTTATTTGAACGCAGCACGGCAAGGACACCATGGGGCCACAAACGGAAGCGGTGGCCATTTTCGCCGCAGCGTTCCTCCCGGAAAAGCCGGGCGCCTCCGCGCTGCCGCTCCCTGCCCTCGCCGCCAGCACGTCACTGCTTCCCCGCTCCC